TGGAACAGGCTCAATGGGCTGAACCTACTCCTGTTTCTAATTCTTGAGTACTCGGGTAAGAAAATACAACTTTAATATTAAAACAGCCATTCCTGTGTGAATCAGGAAAACCCGTTACACCGAAAGTGCAGTGAAAATGTGGCACTCACCTTCCCCCAAAAGGTTAAAGATGCAAGATCAATTGGAATTTTCAAGATTGAAATAACTATATATTTTTAAAGGATTATCAAAAGATGGGAAGCAAAGAGACTAAATAGAGTTGAAGTGAAGCTAAGCCACAACTTCACTGAATGGCAGAACAGTTTTGTGAAATTTCTGTTCCCATATTATAACGTTTGAATTACAAACCTACTGCACAAAATTTCAAAAATAGCGAAGACATGAAAATTGTTTTATATATTGTACGATGGTCAAGAAAATGTATTTCAGGATGCTGTTTTGATTTTGATTCTTGTTACGTCTCTGTCTAAAGACAAAACTGACCAGGAGCATATAGCACTCTGTTAGAAGGAGGCCATCATAGATCTTTTCATAAACTTTGATACAGATATGATGCCTGGTCTGGTGTTATTCAGAATCCTGAACTGCACTATGTACTATCTGAACATTTCCACACACTGATTATGCACAAGCTTATAATGAAGCGATTAATGTCAGCACCAAAATGGATAAGTATGCTCATTTTCTCATAATGTGCCATCTGCTCCTGTAACAGAGCAAGAGGAACAGTTACCCAGTAAAATCTAAAGGCTAACATTCAGTAGAACACCCATCGTTAGCTCAACATTTGTGTTAAGCTGCAGTGCATATATCGTTACTTTGAAAGTATTACAAATGGTGTAGCTGTGGAATTAGTAAAAGAGGCAGTCAGCACTCCTGATGAAGAAGTCATGTTGATCCTGCTTGATACATGGTCAACAGATGAGTTCTGTGATGATACAGAATTTTACTGCCCTACTTTCAACCTGACACTCATACCACAGGAGTTCAGTGACTTATCCCCTCATAGAGAAAGGCTGAAAGAAATTATAAGTGTCCACCATACAAACAAGAGTGGATACAGTGAAAAGATTATTGGAACTGGAATTTAATATACAGGAGTGTGAAATGAATTATTTTAGTAGGAAGGAGACAAAAATAAACTAAATGGTAAAGGCATTCCTGATAGAAGTAGGTATGGAATGGCTGTTGTTGGCTGGTCCCTTGTTTTATGAATAATGTCTACTCAGGATCACAAGTTTCTACTTTAACTAAACAGACTGACTGTCCAATGCAGATCTCCGGGAATATGGAGCAGGAAATGAGAGATTTGCTTCCTTTTTTTTCATTCTCTGCCTCATCATTAAGGCATCTGGACTCAAACCATGATGCAGCTTGATGGATAAGTTTCTCCAGTTTGAATGACTGATAGGAAACTCCTCTCATTCATTAAGGTCAAAGCTGCAGCACTTCAAGGAAAGTTTCAGTGTATCTCTGAAGTGTTTTCTTCATTCCCCCTCCACCCCTCCCACTGGAATCTTGGCCAGTTGAGATGTGGGAAAACAGATCCGGTGCAGGAAATGCTTTCTGGCCATCTGAACAGTGTCCAGTCCATCAAATGGATTTTGTAGCAGTTTTTCCTTAAAGTTTCCGGCACTGGCTTCAAGAAGGAAACTAATGCTGCTTATCCAGTCCTCCTATTGAACCCAGAGGGTGTGGCAAATGAATTGCTGGTTGAATTTCTCTCATGCTCTTATACATTTCAGATGCACAATCTAGGTCTGACTGTAATACAGGAGCGAGGTGACAACAATTGCTCCATGCATTGGGACTCTTGCCGACTTTTGAAGTTCTTTGTCATCAAAGGTTTATTTGTAGAATGCTAAACTAGTTAATGCGACATTGGATCTTATTAATCATGGCCATTTGAGAGAGTTGGCTGCCACAGTATGGAAAGTACTTAACACACTGCAGAGTCTGTCCTTCAACATTATTCAAGGTGGAATGTTTGAGTAAACAGGTCTAGATTGATGCATGAATTTTGGTTTGGCAAATTTCAAGGACAGGTCATACTTCTTACTTGCAGAATTGAAGAAATTGAGAATAGTTTGCAAATCTGGTGCAGAGTGGGGAACAACACAGCAGTCATCCACAAATGATATATGGAGTATTTCTATGGAGCAGCAAAGCGGTGTTATTGACACCTTCATTAACAAATACTACACAAGTTTGAAGAAGTGTGTCAGAAAATAATGAATCCACCAACAAAGGCCACGTTTGGCACTCATACAGGGAAATCAGTGTTCATTACAGATGCAGGTAGCCTGTGGCATTGTGTCCATTGATGCTGCAAGCATTCCCCATCTCTGCTCCTTTAACCAGTGCAGAGATGCAGCACAGGAACAAAAATGGCTGGATGTTTTGCTACAGTTGTATAAAGGTCTAATTAAACTGCTTTTGGAGTATTTCTTTCAGTTCTGGACACCTCATCTCAGGGATATTTTGGTCTCGTATGGGAATGCAGGTTCACTAGAATATTTTTTATTCATTTAAGGGATGCAGGCATCACTGGGTAGGCCAGCATTTATTGCCCATCCCTAATTGCCCAGAGGGCAGTTAAGAGTCAACCACTTTGCTGAGGATCTGGAGCCACATGTAGGCCAGACCAGGTGAGGATGGCAGATTTCCTTCCCTAAAGGGTACTAATGAATCAGATGTGTTTTTTTCCCCCCAATAATTGAGCCATGGTCTTATTTGACTCTTAATTTCAGGATTTTTTCATTGAATTCAAATTGCACCATCTACCATGGCAGTATTTGAATCTAGGTCTCCAGAACATTACCTACGATGAGAGATAGTAGGAACTGCAGATGCTGGAGAATCCGAGACAACAAGGTGCAGAGCTGGATGAACACAGCAGGCCAAGCAGCATCATAGGAGCAGAAAGGCTGACGTTTCGGGCCTAGACCCTTCATCAGAAATGGGGGAGGGGAAGATGGTTCTGAAATAAATAGGGAGAGAGGGGGAGGCGGATAGAAGATGGATAGTGGAGAAGATAGGTGGAGAGGAAACAGACAGGTCGAAGAGGCGGGGATGGAGCCAGTAAAGGTGAGTTTAGGTGGGGAGTTAGGGAGGAGATAGGTCAGTCCAGGGAGGACGGACAGGTCAAGGGGGCGAGATGAGGTTAGT